ATTAATAGACTAAAACTTTGTCCTAAATGTAACAAACACTTTTCTGAAAACCACATCAAAATCGGTTCAGCTAATCGCTAGATAATCGTGCACATACATACATACATACATACATATATACATACATACATACATACATATATACATACATACATACATATATACATGCATACATACATAACATAACATAACATCACGCCTCTTATCCACTGTATAATGTAACAACCACCTTTCACTATTTATGTTATGAGTCCCATAGAGGGTGAGCCTATTGCCATATACCGGACACATTTCCAGACTCCGTGCTATCACTGAGAATTTTTAAAAAACCCTGTAATACTTTGCTCGACCCGGGAATCGAACCCGAGACCCCTTGCCCGGCAGTCGCACTTGGGACCACTCGTCCAACGAGGCAGATGCATACATACATACAGGTGAAACTGAGAGCCTTCGTTTTTGAAGTCAGTTAGTAAAAAATAATGGCAAGGTAATTAAGGTAGTAAGTAACTATTAGAGATTTCAGATTGAATCTAACTTGAAATGAAATGAAATGGGTTTATTCGGCATAAGACATGACCGCCAGAAACAAAAAAGAATTATACATTGTAAAAGGTCTAAAAACGACAAAATTGGCCTCTGTACTATAGCGAGAACCATAAAGTACGGGATTTATTCTTTAGCTCTCCGCTGTCAATATTTACGTAGCTTGATGGGGTTTCAGGAAACGTTTGCATCATCAAGTACCATTATGCAGTGCTGCCGGTGGAAAATTCCTCGATTGTATTGTTAGGCAGAATGTTCTAAATTACTATCAATGAAACTTAGTTTCGAAATTTTTTCTTCATTGTCTTATTGTATTCGCTTAAATACAGTTAAGTTCAAACGTAGTTGTAGTAGCAATTTTTACTGTTTAGTTATGAGCAGGTAGGTACTTTTTTGTTTTTCTGAAGGATATACTTCAAATGCTTAGTTTACACTTTCATAGGGGTGCTGAGGTAAACGTGTTACATATTATCTACCGAAGAGTTCGCATTTATCCTCGTAGGCACCTTAAACTTATAACAATTACGTTTATGTTTAGTTTGACGTGGGTTTAAAATCACATGGAAAAAAATGTATGAACGAAATCGATATTCATCTTTTTAGAATGCACCTACTGCACAGAAGAGAGGCTAAAGTAAAAAAGAGTACATTAACGAGGTCACGGCCATTCAACAATACAGGGTGTTATAAACAAACGTAGCGTCCCATCCGCGAAAAAACCCACAACGTACAAACAACGGTTATCGTCCAAAATAAACGTGTGACGCAACTAGTGTATCAACACTATGTTACTATCATTTTCAGCAATAACTCACGGAAGGTATTTACCCTGTCAACGTAATAGTTGTCACTTGATAGTAAAACTGACTTTATGATATAACAAGACTTAATAACATGATGTAGGTATAGACTGTTTTCATTCGTTATGAATTCTATGTTGTAGGGCATAAGGCTAGCCCAACACATCGGTAACCGGTAGCTACATCACCAATCATATTTAGTCTACCCGTTGCCATCTCCTGCTAGACATAGGGTCCTCCAATGGCATGCTATTATGCTTGATCTTTAGGTTTTCCAATCTAATCGCCTGGTTGTCAGCCATTTCACCATATATTGCACAATTACTGCTGAGACTATAATACACAATAATAAAAAATCAAAAAACTTTGATAATATCCCGACCAAGTAATCAAGACCAAAAGTCTTGTTTGGCCATCGATCAATGAGGCAGTAAGTAACTGAAGTAAAATCTTGCTAATGTATCAGTCATTACTGACCTCCCCCTGATCTCTAGCCTAGAGAAGCTCAAAGTCGCTCAGGGCGCGAGAGAGAGTTATGCTCGGAGTTTTCTTGCGTGACAAAATCCGAAATATGAAAATTCGCCAAAGAACTAGAGTTACAGACATAGCTTGCAAAATCTGCAGACTGAGGTGGCAATGAGCAGGCCACGTTGCTCGACGGACTGACAGCAGATGGGCCAGAAAAGTCCTTGAATGGAGACCACGCACCGGAAGACGAAGCGTGGGCAGGCCTCCCGTTAGGTGGACCGACGACATGTCCAGAGTTGCGAAGAGGCGGTGGATGCAGGTGGCAAGTTGTCGTTTGACGTGGAGGACTACGTCAACTACGTGGGAGGTCTTTATCCAGCAATGGACGCCTTCCGGCTGTCGATGATGATAGAGAACAGTCATCACTTAGTACATTATTGTTTTAGGTAGATGTATTTATTATGTTTACATAAAATAGCTTAAGGCCACGTTATCCGAGAGCAGGTTTCGTGGGTGTCAAGTTTGTATTCCGTGGTTAGATGTTACTACGGAAACTGCTACGCTAAATTAATACAATAATATCAAGAATGAAGCAGATATTGTTGGTTAACATACGTACTATTCAATTACATAAATCAACAGCACCTAATTGTTGTTATACCCGACAAGGATACACAACATTTTTAGCACAACTGGCGGAAGAAACGTAGCCTATACGCCTATGCTTCCTAACTAGAACGGTGCGTTGTGTTCAACGCGCGCCTCAAAGAGCCATCAGACCACCACAGGTGGGGCCAAATAGGGCTGATGCCAATACGGAGCCGTTGAAGACTTAACGGGTTGCCGGAGCTCCGGCTCGAAATGCAGTAGTTTTTAGTCAGTAAGAGTCTGACATTCTCGTATCAACCTGGGTCATTCGATGATTCCCCCCCTAAAAAAAGAAGCTTCCTAACTATCCTAAGACATATTCCATATACATCACTATCTATACAATTTTTTTCCAAAACATTTAAAAACAATAACATTTTTCCATTATCGTTTTCACGTCATTTCATTTCAAACATCACAGCTGTTAAATTTATCGATCAGCTTTCCTACTAATTAATCATTTTCTATGCAAACTCGACAAACCTTATAATATAGAATCCCTTACAGTCACTCAGATTGCCAGAATAAACACTAAACTCTTAATGAAACGTTTGAAGTTGAACGAACGTAATCCACAGATGCGATTTTACGAAGATCCGTTTATTGTAAGTGCTACGAAAGTTAAGACTTCCACGTTTTCTCAGAGTAAATCAAGAAAAGAGTACCTATTACTTTTGTTCTCTTTTTTTCTATTTCTTAATGTAATTATTGTACTTATTTTATGAAATGCAACGTAATAGGAGGTGTATGTAGGCTGTAGGCCAATACCAATATAATAGCGGAGTGATACCACGGCCTCACAGAAAACCGACTAGAAACAACGTTTGCTTTGTGTTTTATTGTGTGAGTGAGGTTACCGGAGTCCCAATTCCCTCCCCCTTCCCAATCTCCCAAAATCTCTGAATCCCCTACAATCCTTTGTAACGCACTTGTAACTCCTCTGGTGTTCCAGGTGTCATGTACACCTGGAACACCAGAGGAGTTACAAGTGATCCGTCTGCTCGTTTACGGGCTTAAACCATAAAAAAACAGTACAAACTCATTACAATCAAATCCTTGTTGAACACGCACAATTGTACTTTTACTTAAAATTATCTAAAATCATCAATATTTTGCAAACTTGAAGACTAAACCAGAGATGCTCGGCAGCGGCATTTAAAAAAAACAATATCATTCGTAACGTTGTTCGTTCCCGCAAAGTTAAGTCCAGAAAATTTGACAATTATTCCCCTCTTAACCAACGAGGCAGCTACCGTAATAAAACCAACACAAAATTAATTAAAATTATTCATAATCACGCAATAAATTACCACTATCATTAATATTTAAAAGCTATTATAACAATATTGTTTATTTAATCGCACGTGTAGCCTGTTGTAGGTAAACGAATTTAACAATGAATCGAATATCTGATTCAAATAATGCACCGACCCAATCCAACAAACTAAACAAAATGTTTATATTTGAAAAATAAAATGTACCTAGGTGAACAAAAAAATGGGTCAGTCCTGATTTTTATGATTTACTATCTTCAGCCAGCGGCTTCGTCTGCATCACCGAGTAAAATATAAACAAGTACGGCGCCTAGTACACACATGTTATTCTATAGCATACCCTAAACATCACGCCTTTTATCCCCGAAGGGGTGCAATGTAACAACACCCTCTTTACTATTTTATGTTATGAGTCCCATGTATTAGGGGGTGAGTCTATTGCCATATACCGGGCACAAATCCAGACTCCGGGCTACGAGTGAAAATTGAAAAAAAAAAATTTATAGCTCTTTGCCCCAAAGTCAAAGTCAAAGTCAAAGTCAAAGCATTTATTTCAATTAAACCATAGTTTGGTACTTTTGAAACGTCAACAAATACAAAATAAATAATAGTCTGTCAGTCAGTCCGTCAGTGAAGCTAGGGCCCACCCGGGAATCGAACTCGAGACCCCTTGCCCGGCAGTCGCACTTGCGACTACTCGGCCAATGAGGCAGTCATTATTCATCAGTAGCTGTGCCAAATTTTGTTTGCAATTGCATCAAAGAGTAATAAACTTTCATATATTTATAATTTAAATTCATCATCGTCAGTCGAAATATGTCCACTGTAGTACAAAAGCGTTCGTAAGAGTTAAAATCCTCACGTCAATCGGGCGGCTACGACACTGGAAACAAAAATACAAGAAAATAATAATTAAAAAAAGTTGTTCAATAATATTACACAAAATAATACATTCAATAAATAAAAAAGGTTTAATTTTCGAACAGACTGTGTTCGAAAATTAAACCTTTTTTATTTTACGCTAACCTGTTTAGTAGGAGGCATCATTTATCATCTACCTTTGTATGCAATGTACCTAATACAAACTAGAACAACACAGTGAGTTTCCATTGTATATTACAGTGCCAACGATAGGATATCATGGATAGGCTTTCATCGATGCTTGTTACAAAGCTATCGAAGATAAAGTACCGATAAAGATGGTTTCAAGTTCCGAGACTATGGCAAGGCGCGATACACAGCCAGTACTCTGTGACGCGTTGCCGAGACCGACCGCGAATACTAGAACCGCGCGATTCGACAAAACGTTTTAAATATTTCGTGTCTCCAATCTGTATACAAATAAAAATAATCTGACTGTTTGTTCTGATATAAAGTGTTTGTTAACAAATACGTAAGTACTTAGTTTTTTATTATCTGTGCTAATTAATTGTTTTGTAAACATTGAATTTTGCGGCCTTGTTTTTGGTTTAGTTTTTCTTTTTTTTTGTGTGTGGTTGATGGTGAAGATTTTTATTGGTGGAAAATTTTTATTGTTTATTCCTTTGTAGTAATTTTATAGTTAGATATTTGAACTTTTTCTTACTTGTATTGTCCACGTTTTACATAAAGCGTTACCTTAAATAAGTGTCACCAAGTTATAAATTTAAATTCGCTTCCATTTTTGAAACAAATCTAAGAAATAAAATTATTCTTTTAGCGTTCGTTTTAAGTCATAGCTATGTATTTACTATTTCATTTTATCGCTTATTGAAAATTCACGACGTCAATATACAATAGTTTATTTTTGTACAAAACTTTTGAATAGGTATCTATTTACACTTATTTTTATGCATTCTAACACAGATGTCTTAAAATTGAAAGTAAATTTTTTGCCAAGTACTTACATCTTGCAAATATGAAGAAAATGTAATGATAAACACTTTGTAGAATAAATAAACGGAACAGATACGCGTTTTACAATAAACAACGCCTATTCATAGAAAAAATAAAAATAAATTTTGGTTTGAGCTCGTAAATTCGTAAGTGGCATACTATCCGGTACCTGTTCGCCTTCGATATTTAAAATTTTAAGCAGTCTAGGTTTATTAAAAAGGAATAATTTTATTATTACCATTTACAATGTGAACTTTAGTTTTTATTTTGTTTTTTGTCAGTGTTACATTTTGGCAAATACTATACCGACTTATTGTTAAAATTATTTTTATTTAGCTATGGTTATGGCAGCTACATGTAAGAAAACTTTGGTGGTGGTGGTGCTAGGTGTTAGTCGGTTTTTTTTAAAAGAATGTTGCCCCACATTAGCATTTTCTCCTGTGTCGTGGGAGCGTTTACAAACATACAAGTTCACATACACATGAAACCCAGACCCGGAACAACAATCTGTGGATCACACAAAGAGTTGTTCGGTGCGGGAATCGAACCCGCGACACGTTGCGCGGCAGCCAGTTGCCCAAACACCGCGCCAACCGTGCTTTCAAGATAATAAATGTTTGATTCATATGAAACATCTGTACCTACTTAGATACAGTATTATTAATGACAAAAATACTACATAATGGTGTCTTTCAAAAAATATTTGTCATCCCTATCTAGTATTTAGATCTAGACTTTAACACTAAAAGGTTACAAATTAGATGTTTATTTTTCTACTTATTTCTAATCGTATAAAACCTTTTCAAGGTTGTTTGCGGTCAATGACTCGGTACATTGTATTCTAATAAGTCTGTTCACAATTGTTAATTTTAATCTTAGACGGACTCTTTCAATGCATTATTATTATCATCTTCTGGACATTGGCTTACAAATAAAGTAAGGATATTTACACACTATAGATCTATAGAACCTCGACATAATTCTTGTTATTGATGTGTGTTATTGCAATTGGTAACTTTTTTACTTTATAACTAAGCGTCAATTTCAACTTATTTTGCCATTTATGGACATTATGAAATTTTCATAATCAAACAAAACAGAAATTGGGTTAACGCTGACCAAACTTTTGAAAGAGATTATAATAATGAGAACTCGTTAATATTGTTTATTGTAGGTACATTAAAATTTCAAGGGTTGAAAATATGGTGGATGGCGGAACTAAATAATTTTAACGCTTTCGTTCCAAATCTGAAAAATGGCAAAAATATTTGGAATTAATGTTTTTCAAATTGTGTTAAAGTTAGTTATGGTTATGGAGGTTTGTTAAGTAATTTAGAAATTTCCCTTTTTTATAAACGCTAACGTATTAATTAAAACTTTTTGATGTTTTCTCGTTTGGTTTTCTTATAGTAGATAGTGTAATTATTAATTTCTAATTTTGACCTACCAAGATAGCTTATTATTCGCTTCAAAGATTGTACGACGTGACCAACGCCGCAATTTAGTTAGAAATTAGACATGGACATTTATAAATACCATTTATATGAGCTAAAATATGAAGTACGAAACTTTGAAATGTACATTTGCGTACGTACAAACTAACACACAAACATTGCCACACGTGGAAAGTAATGTAGAGAATCTCTACACTAGTTTCACGGACAGTGTACAATGCCCAAAATGTATTTACAATTTGGTTTTGTAAATACATTTTCCTGTGGAAAGTGTGCTGTGTGGTGAATAGAAAAGTTCTTTGTGGCATTTGGTAAAAAATATTAAAGAGGTTTAGAGCTTTTTGACTATTTGAATCTTTTACCTCATTGAAATCGCTCTTAGTAGTAAAAAGACTAAGTCTTTTTTGTAGGTGGAAATCATCCAATGTGTTCTCGATCCTGCCTGGGTCAGGCGAGACGGAGTGTCAGACTATTACTGGCTGAGAACCACCCCGTTCCTACTTCTGCCCTTTGATCTGGAGCCCCGGCAACCCGTTAAGTCCGCCTTCAGCAGTTTTCTGTCGGCAGTCAAAGGCTTAAAAACAGCGGCGGTTCCAACTCCACCGGACCGCGGGACTTTACACTGACAAAATTTACTTCTAAGACTGCCTCAAGAGTAGTTTTATCTACCTACATGTATACATGTCATACAATGTACCCACACATGCAGGTGTTCATAATGAAGTCTTTTACGGCTTTCAGTCACATTCTTCTAATTTCCCTCGAGTGAGTTTTACGAGTTACGTTAATTAAGTGCAGATATAAAGAAACAAAGATATTCCCCAAGGAAAATACCCTTTTATGTAGTTTAAACTTTAAACTGTTATGCGATCGGTTGAGAATTTCTTTTAACAGTCCCTTTGGTTTAGTGGTTACAATCCAGACATCTGAGGTCAAGTACGTTGAAAACAAGACGAACATAATATCACTCAGAAATGATTGAAGCACCAAAATGTCAGTGGGTAATTTATCTGTGCGTGTGTAATGGGTTACCAGACTTAGGAAAATGACAGATGCCCTTGATGTGAATGTATGTATGTTCTGCGTGTAAGCCTATAGTGACCAGGTGCCACAGTCATCGTTTCAAGAGACTGTGTCTGCCACTTTTTGAACGTCCTTGTTTGAGGCCTTTCGGATAGGCCAGTTAATGAGGATTTCAGTCTTCAAATCCCCTATAGTATGAAGCCTGTCATCCCCATGGTGTCGTGGCGGCTCGGACTCATGCATGGGGATGCGGGTATGAAACCTACCTACGGCAAGAACCAATGTAACTTTTTCTGAGTTATATGTACTTTCTAAGATTATTTAGACACCACTGACAAACGGTGAAGGAAAACATCGTGAGGAAACCTGGACTTATAATTTGTGATTATAAGTTTAAAATCGCCAACCCGCGATGAGCAAGCGTGGTGGTTAATGCTTAAACCTTCTCAGTGCAAGAAGAGGCTTTGCTCAGAAGTGGACACTTATAGGCTGTTGATGGGTGATGAAGCCGTTAAAATGTACTCGATGTTCGTCAGTCAAGTGAGTTCACTCTTTATGGTATGAGACGAACATAAAAGCCAGAGAATCTTCTACAAGTACAATCTATGTGAGGGTAGACAGTACATGTCGTTGTGTCATCAAACTGCAGCTTAAACTGTCAAACACCAAGCGGTCACCGGTGACCGCAACCTATTGTTCTATAATTGTGTCTACAAAACCGGTACTCGACGAGTTAATTTGATTACTGCGCCATTGGTGATAGACAAAAGATGAGAGGTGAATATACATTGCGCGTTAGCTGAAGTAGAACGATCTATACATAGTGTCCAGTATACACATACACAAACTCGTGACGTGTTAGGCCCAGTACCCACTATCGGCAACGGCACGTCTGAGGATTTTAGGTGGCAAATAGCAATACACATTAACATAATGGTAATAAAGTAGAAATTGCCGTGCATATGGTCGTAATAACAAAAATACCGCTTCGGTATGATTGAGGCTGCTGTATCGGCAGCTTTGATAATCCTTCGGGATGCTTCGGCATCCACCGGCAGTTCGGCCGCCAGCTTGATTGATTAGATTTCTCTTCTTCTTCAGCAAGAGCTGCTATGAGCCAGTCTACCATATTAAATGCTGTTACTGTTATGACGAGAAATAAGATAATGACACGCTTGGGCATGCTTCAGGACGGTGCACCATGCAGACCCATGCTTAAGGACGCCTCGTCATCCTTAAGAACGTTCCAGCATGCTAAAGCATAGTGTCCGACAGTGTGCGCTTGCATGTAAGATGCCGAAGGATCCTTTTCCTTGCCGACTCCGATAGTGGGCGCTGGGCCTCAGGGTTCCAAATTTTTATTTAGGTAAGCTCTTATACGTTTATTTTTTACACCAGTCCCACTACTTAACAGGATTTGATACAGCTGTCGATTTGAATAACGTATGTCAATCCATTTGTGGATATGGATTTATTTTTTTGACATTAGTTGTATGAAGTTTCTGTCAAAAATGGGTCTTAATGCACGGATTTAGGATTGAGATTATGTTAGTGAAATTGGCAGTAAATCGCTAAATCTTAACTAAACTAAAAATGAAATCAACAGTCTTATCCAGAAACACAGTAGCATGGAACAAATACGTATTATTGTTCAATTATGTAATATCTAACTAAAAAATGTGTTGCCATATCTATTGTCGATGCCGAAAATATTTTTGGCAAAGTTACCTACGTGAACTAAAAAAGAAAAAATATGAATAACGGGAGGAAGTCCCGGCTCTAACTGAAGCTAGGTGTCTATAAACGAGATCTGCCGGTGTTGAAGCTTTCCACCTTTTTTTTGGAGAAAACTTTTTTATTTATATTTTGGACACTATAGAGAAATTCTGCTCTTTTAGAAATTCTTGGATTAACATACATACGTTGGTAAATACCTGGTAAATACCAGGGATGTTAAAATCACACTATTTAGAGCCTATTGTACGTCTTTTTATACCTGTAGCCTATGGGCCGTCTATACTGCGGGGGCGTACAGTGCCCT